AAATATCACTATTTCGTGGTTATATGAAGTAGAACGTTTTTGTGGTATATTAAGTTTAGGAGGTCATAGGGTTTTAGGAAGGTAACAAATTAAGCCCTCTTATAATGTTTGCTTGAAGCTTGTTGAAACGTCCATTAGTTAGAGTACTTATATCGTCATTTCTCCTTTTCTGCTTACATAACGTATTCAAGGCTCTAAACCTTTAGCATCGTATTATGCTCCACGCAAGAGTAATTATCCAGGTCAGAATGACTACGGGTATCTACTAATCAATCCTAGCTTTAATTTTGATATCACACAAATTAAAGATTTTAGAGGACTAAAACTTCATTCTTTCTCTCTCAACCCTAAATACCAATTTCTGCCCTGAATCTTGGACACCGGCAAGCTTAATTCATCTTACGGGTAAACCCGTCAACTGCAATGGCGTGGTGCACCAGTTTTTTTTTTGCCACAAAGAATAAGGAAGATATACACCGATAGATACATACAGAACTGTGGATTCCCCGATTTTATTCCACGATAACGTACAAGCCAGTAGCTGGCGTATCAATCTATAACCAAACCCAATAATATGGGAAAAATGTTGTGCTGTTATGTGATAGTAAGTTGCAAGTTGTCCATGCTCCGAAAAAATAGTGTTCCTAATTACATACACTCTAATTTTTATTCACCAGGAATCCGATCCCATCAAATACTCAAAATTGGATGGTATAACGGAGCTATACCAAACCATACACTAATATTGATAATTTTTGTAGAAAGAATTGACACTCTATAAGAATTTGATACATCAAACTAGATCGAATTCGGTTAAAAACAATGGGGGCTACCCGGAAACTTGGGCCTATATTGATCATTTTTAGCAGGGAGATTTTTTATTTAATAAGAATCCAAAATATAAATATACACTTAATTTTGTTGAAGCACGCATCCAAGCTTCATAAAATTCCGAAATTCGGGATGTAGTGTTATATAAATCAAATCTGAACCGATTTGTAGGAAACTTGGCAGACATCACTCTAGGCTTAATTCAGTACGTTATGCCAAATTTCGTGCAAATCGAAGGGTACATAGGGATTTTGGTGTACCATTTACATGAAATCGGACGAAACTATATATGGGAGCTATATGTAAATCTCAACCGATTTTCACGAAACTTGGCAGACATCACTCTAGGCTCAATTCAGTACGTTATGCCAAATTTCGTGCAAATCGAATTATATAAAGGGACTTTGGTGCACCATTTACGTGAAATCGGACGAAACTATATATGGGAGTTATATCTAAATCTGAACCGATTTTCACGAAAATTGGCAGACATCACTCTAGGCTCAATTCAGTACGTTATACCAAATTTGGTGCAAATCGAAAGATATATAGGGACTTTGGTGCACCATTTACGTGAAATCGGACGAAACTATATATGGGAGTTATATCTAAATCTGAACCGATTTTCACGAAAATTGGCAGACATCACTCTAGGCTCAATTCAGTACGTTATACCAAATTTGGTGCAAATCGAAAGATATATAGGGACCATTTACATGAAATCGGACGAAACTATATATGGGAACTATATCTAAATCTCGACCGATTTTCACGAAACTTGGCAGACATCACTCTAGGCTCAATTCAGTACGTTATGCCAAATTGCGTGCAAATCGAAGGATACATAGGGATTTTGGTGTACCATTTACATGAAATCGGACGAAACTATATATGGGAGCTATATCTAAATCTGAACCGATTTTCACGAAACTTGGCAGACATCACTCTAGGCTCAATTCAGTACGTTATGCCAAATTTCGTGCAAATCGAAGTATATATAGGGACTTTGGTGCACCATTTACATGAAATCAGACGAAACTATATATGGGAGTTATATCTAAATCTGAACCGATTTTCACGAAAATTGGGAGACATCACTCTAGGCTCAATTCAGTACGTTATACCTAATTTCGTGCAAATCGAAAGATATATAGGAACTTTGGTGCACCATTTACGTGAAATCGGACGAAACTATATATGGGAACTATATCTAAATCTCGACCGATTTTCACGAAACTTGGCAGACATCACTCTAGGCTCAATTCAGTACGTGATGCCAAATTGCGTGCAAATCGAAGGATACATAGAGATTTTGGTGTATCATTTACATGAAATCGGACGAAACTATATATGGGAGCTATATCTAAGTCTGAACCGATTTTCACGAAACTTGGCAGACATCACTCTAGGCTCAATTCAGTACGTTATGCCAAATTTCGTGCAAATCGAAGTATATATAGGGACTTTGGTGAAATCGGACGAAGCTATATATGGGAGCTATATCTAAATCTCGACCGAATTTCACGAAACTTGCAGGCATCACTTAAGGCTCAGTTCAGTACGTTATACCAAATTTCGTGCAAATCGACAGATATATAGGATCTTTGGTGTTCCATTTACCTTAAATCTGATGAAAATATATATGGGAGCAATATCTAAATCTGATCCGATTTTTCCCAATTTCGATAGGGTTCGTCCTTGGGCCAAACAAATGAGCTGTGCCAAATTTTATCCAAATCGGATTATAAATGCGACCTGTACTTTGTTTACAATTTAACACCAACAGACGGGCATACATAAATCCACTCAGAAAGTGATTTTATGGGTCTATGTCGTTTCCTTTTGCCTGTTACAAACATATGCACAAAGGCATAATACCCTGTACCACAGTGTGGTTAAGGGTATAAAAATCACCATAATGCCGAGTATTTGGAGGTATAGCTGAATATACCAAAAAGTATGGGTACCTAATCCAACAGATGCTCGATTGTTTCCATTTCTTCCCCGACACCCGAATTTTCATGTAAAGACCGGATCCTGTATCGGATATTATTTAAATAAATCACTTATCATTTCCATACGATGTATGGAAATCAGTATTTATCATGATATGGCGGAACTTCTCCAGTGCATAAATTAATGATTCTGCTTTCCTTCAAATAATTAGAGTCGACGAAACATCTGAATATTCGCGGGGTCCTTCATTATCCAGGAACACAACTAAGGAGAACCAGGCATGTTATGATTTACTGATCTTGTCAAGATTCAGAAAATAGAAAGGTAATGTAGAAGGGCGCGATCTCTTTTGCATTTGCATAGACATGTTAGTTTATATGGTTTTATCTAGTGACCTCGTTGTTATCAGTCAAAGGTTCCTAATTTCGCCGGATGTGTGAGTCTCACTCCGATGGATGCCTACCTGGATGGCCTCAATCAATTGTCCTCCAACAAACGATTTTCATTTCTTCTGTACCCTCACTTTTGTTGCTAGGCGTTTCAGTCGTGCTGATTTTTGTAGCTTCCTCCATTCCAATACTTACCTTCCTAATCTTACATCGTTTAACAAGTTGTGCGTCTTACCCTTAGTTTTAGCCAGACTTGTCATTGAAGATCTACCTCAAGGAGAGCCGTGTATTCTTCTGCAGACCGAAGACTTTGAACATGAGCATCTTGAGTTTAATTGAGTGGCAATGCTTGCCACTAGTTTCCTGAGGCTTTAATGTTATATGACAGCCTACATTTAAGCATTAACTATTCACCTATGAAGCTGTCCAGATCGATGGGGGCCCCTTCTTACGTTTGAACCCGTTTTTAACACACCTCTAAGAAGAACTTAAAAAAGATCCATGTTATTGATAGAACCTCCAAATAACGTTCCAGCCTCATTTTCCATATTTTTAAGATTTAAGCCGAAATTTTCCCACCAAAGTCTCGATAGTTTGAAATTGTTAATCGAACTTCCCAACTTAGTGGATGCACTTTTATCCTTGGTGAGAGGACAAATTTTCTGCAGGTAATAATTATGATATATTTGCATATTTCTATATAGCGTCCATATAAGATACCGTCCGTTTTCGATATCTTGAAGGTTTATCTAACAACATAACTGTTATTTGTCATTGTTGATTTTTGAAAGGTGGCATAGCCCCACATATAGGTAGTAGGACGAACCTTTTTGAAAGTGGGAAATATCGGTTCAGATTATATATAGCTCCCATATATATTTTCATTCGACTTCATGTAAATGGTGTTCAAAAGTCCCTATATATCTTTTGATTTGCACGACATATGGCATAGCGTATTGAATTAATTGTAGAATGATATGTGTTGAGTTTCGTGAAAATCGGTTCAGATTTAGATATAGCTCCTATATATTTTCGTCCGATTTAATGTAAATGGTGTACCAAAGTCCCAATATATCTTTTGATTTGCACGAAACCTGCATAGCGTACAGAAATAAGTCTAGAATGGTGTGTGTTAAGTTTCCCGAAAATCGGTTCAGATTTAGATATAGCTCCCGTCTATTTTTTCGGAACATCCTTTGTATATACCCAAAGTGTTGAAGGGTATTAAAAAGTCGGTCACGTCTGAATTTTACACTTTCCTTACTGGTTTCCTATCTCCACTCTTTGAAATTAAATTAAAACCACATACATTCCTTTGACCGATCGAAGCAAATACAAACCGTAAAAGTAAAAATAATATATAAATGGACGGCGACACTCGTGGTTGAATGAAACCGAACTTTCCAACAGATGAATGGAATTCCCTGAAACAATTGTCAAATGTTAATGTCAAACTAAAACTTACAACAATCTTTCTTTTGTTTTTCTTCCGTTTCATTGCAGTTTGTTGGATCAGCAGAAGCACCAAGTGGAATTGAAAGATAGAAACAACACACACCACATACCTCCACAAAAAACTTTAGCTACCTCTGCCTCTAGTCGAACCAGACAATTGCTGTGAAAGCAATAAAAGTGATTCAATTTTCTGTGGTCAGAAAGGAGGAGGATAGCACAAACAACAACGGTGCATGTTAACATCGGCGTTAACAAAGGTATCAACGACAACAGAAACAACAATAACGCTTATAGCTTCTGGCCAAAGTATCATCCACAGCAGCAGCAGCATCAACATTGGTATCCACTCAAAGCATGACAACAAGAATCATGAGCAAAAGCATTTCATCTGCAGGTGCTGCTGCTGCCAGTGGTAGTAGTGGCCTGGGTGGAATTCCTACAAACTCGGTGGCATCACCACAATCAACAACAACAGCAGTGGCAACAACAACATCAACGACCACAATTACCTCAGATCCGGGCATTTTATGCTTCCATCATTGCAATGTGAAAGTTTTCTGTTTTACATTGCCACACATTTGTCCACAATGTAAAACGGCATTGGACACACATCCCTACGGTGGTGGTGGTCTTACAAACAAACGACCCAAGTCCAAGAAAAGAACTCCAGCTACAAATAATGTCCAAATGGCAGCCACTAAAGGACACTATGCCCACAGTCATGGTGATGTTAATAATGACAATAATCGTGATAATGATGATGATCAATGGCATAATGGCAATGACCAACAACATCAGGCCACAATGGATCAGGACTCAGATGACGATGGCGACGACGACGATGAGAATTCAAATGATTCAGTTTGTCACATCATGGACAGTCGCCTCTTGCCATTCCGTTTACCTTATCCATTTGTGCGGGCCAATCAATATCCTTGTGCTATAGTTTTACGTCCCACCACAGGTGATTTTCTCAAGTGAGTAGAAGTTGTTCATTGTTTTTTGTTTCTTTCCATTCCTCATCCATCCTTTCCACCATTTTAATTTTTATTGAATATGTTTTTCAATTTATTTCCCTTTTAGCTGGGAAATCCATACTTAAATCAATTATATCTTTGAGTTTAATTTTTCCATTTTTTCTCTCTCCCATTTTCATTTCCTTTCCATATATCCATCCCTTTGTAATGAAATCTCTCTTCATATGTACGTGTGTGTGTTTGTATGCATAATTGTGGCTTTTCTTTCCCTTTTTTCAGTGATTATAATAATACCACGGATTTGCATATTGCTGTGACAACATCGACCGGTTGTGTCGTGGAATTTGATCGGCATGGCTTACGACGTCATCGTACAGCCAATATGTCAGATTGGTGGCAATGTCTATTGGTGGGTGATGTTCCAGAGCCCTGGTACGATTATTGGGATCAGGTTTTATTTGAGGTAAGTTATGCAATACTCGTATCATTTGTAATGCAAATTTGTTGCAAAATGACATCCTGCAGGCAATATCAATGAATCAATATCAATGTTCTGCCAGGATGCAGTGAAACCTGACTTTTAGACTTTTTTCCCTGATGAATACAGGCGTGGATTTATAAAGAATATTTTTTAAGGATCGACATAAGAATGGTTATTTAAAGAGTATTCTTCAAGGACCACTATAGGCGAGGATTTTTTAAAGAATATTCTTCAAGGACCACTATAGGCGTGGATTTTTTAAAGAAAATTTATTCAAGGACCACTATATGCGTGGATTTCTTAAAGAATATTTATTTAAGGACCAATATAAGCGTAGATTTCTTAAAGAATATTTATTCAAGGACCATTATAGGTGTCGTTTTTTTTAAGGAATATTTATTCAAGGACCATTATAGGCGTCGATTTTTTAAAGAATATTTTTCAAGGCGAGGATTTTATAAAACATATCTCTTTAAGAGCCCATAGAGGCGTGGATTTTTTTAAAGAATATTTTTTCAGATCACTATATGTGTGGATTTTTTAAAGAATAATTTTTTAGGACCAACAGAACCATTGGTTGTAGATTTTTTATGAATATTTTCTTATACCCTTCACCACAGGATATTATGTCTTTGAGCATATGTTTGTAACAGGCAAAAGGAATCGACATAGACCCATGATGAGATTTAGATATACCTCCCATATATAGTTTCGTCCGATTGTTTGTGAATGATGCACCAAACTCCCAATATTTGTCCGATTGGGACAAAATTTTGCACAGAGTACTAAATTAGGTTCAGACTGATGTTTGCGAAGTTTTGTTAAAATGGGTTCAGATTTAGATATAGCTCCCAATTATAGTTTCGTCCGATTTTCTGTGAATGATACACCAAACTCTCAATATTTGTCCGATTGGGACAACATTTTGCACAGAGTACTAAATTAGGTTCAGACTGATGTCTGCGAAGTTTTGTTACAATGGGTCCATACAATAGGTTCCTATTTTAACATTGTTCCATTTGAAAGTCCAGACCTTTTTCGATAGTTTAAAGTTTTTAACGGCATTTTTGCAATGAAATGTAAAGTTTTTTTTGAAGATTTGAGGGGTTATATCCATCAATGCGTCTATAATTTGCTTCCAGGGTTTTTGAGTAATGAAACGCATGACTTGAATTTTTTTTCTTTATAGGTGCATGTTCTGGCATTGCCCCATATAATGGGCTTGGCATTTTGGAATCGAAGTGACTGTAATTAGGAATTCCATTTGGATATTTTTAATGTTTTAGACAAATTTCCCCGAAGTGGCTGTAATTTCGTACTCAGAGTTCTCGTAGATTGACAAACTTCTTTACAGAATATTTTCGATCACAAGAAGTTCTGGCCACAGTTTTCCACCGATGTGGCATTGCTGAAAAATAATTCTTGCTACAAAATTTGCTGTATACAATAGTACCGTTTAATTTCCGGTACGTTGAAGTTCTTACCCCAGTTTTTCAAACCGAGTGATTATAATTTTCAGGGTCATTGGTGCACCATAAAATCGGTTGAAAACATATATGTGATCTATATCTAAATCTAAAACTATTTTCTCCAATTTCAATAGGGTTCGGCCTTGGGCTAAATAACTGGTCTTTGCCAAATTTTATCCAATTCGAAACATAATTGCGATCTGTCTTTACTCCCAAGAATACATGGACGGACAAGCATAAATCGACTCAGAAAGTGATTCTGTGCATATTCTCAATCTTCTCTATATAGACCTACAACAAGTAATTTAAAAAGCCAGTAAGGTGAGTAGTAAAGTCGGACTGAGCCGGCTATATGATACCCTTCACCACTTTGGGTATATTGCACATATGTATCCTTACAATTGTATGTCAATGTTCCCTCGAAGGAACATTCTCATGTCTTTCTGCAACCTATGCTAAATTTAATTTCATTCGGACAGATGTAGAGTTGTCTGCGTACCATGGGACAAATTTATGGAAAACCAAACCCAATAACATCATTCAAGCCCCCTCCTCACGTAGTTGGGAGCTATATCTAAATCTGAACCGATTTTCACGAACCTTAACACTCATCGTTCTAGATTTAATCCAGTATGCTATGTAAAATTCCTGCAAATGGAATGTTATATAAGGACTTTGGTGCACCATTTACATAAAAATACAAAAATATTTGGATGCTATATTTGGATGATCTAGTGATTGGTGTCACGAAATTTAACACCAATCAGTACGATATGCAAATCGAAGGATATATAGGGATTTTGGTGCAACATTTACATTAAATCGGATGAAAATATATATGACAGCTATATCTAAATCTGAACCGATTTTCACTAATCTTAGCGCACATCATTCTAGACTAAATTCAGTACGCTATGTCAAATTTCGTGCAAATCGAAAGATATATAGGAACTTTGGTGCACCATTTACATAAAATCGGACAGAAATATATATGGGAGCTATATCTAAATCTGAACCGATTTTCCCCAATTTCAATCGAATCAAAAATGCGTCCTGTACTTTGTTTACAATTTTAAATTTTTAAACAATATAGGCTTAATACTTTAAAAAATTTATGTTTTTAGTCATTGTAGTCCTTCAAAAAATAATTGTGGATAATCTTTGCTTATGGTCCTCATATTCCTCTAAAAAAGAAATAAACAACGATTCTGGTTCCGATAGTACTTCAAAAAAATTAAATCTACACTTCTTAAACTTTTAGTCCTTGGGCCAAAAAATTATTTCCTTCTAAAAGTTGGTTTAAATAATCTTTGTTTAAAAGAACTATAACCTTCGGAAACAAATTTGAAACCGAATTACGATTATAATACAATTTTTTTTTAAATTGCCTGTTACAAACATATGGCCTTTTAATCCTGTACCACATGTGGTAAAAAAAATCTACGTTCATGGTCCTTTTAAAACTTTTCTATAATCTTCAAATTTTGAACAAAAAACAGTATTGAAACTCTCATAGTCGAATTTTTATGAATGTTTTTCTTGGGCCAACAGAATTCTAAGCTCCGATTTTTTAAAACTATTTTTCAAAGAATTTCATTTAAGTGCTACCCTTATAATAAGTTCCAAAAACCCCCACACCAACCATTTCCATTTTGTTGTCACACATCCTTATCCCTTCGTTATGATAAAACTCATACTCAATTTTAACGCTCATTTTGTAAATCACTTGATGTCATAACTTTAATCCTCCTCCATTGCTTGGCATGGCATGGTCGCATACCAAAAACCGAAAACAACTGCATATATAATTTTTTTCTGCATACATTACAAACGAACGAACCACCACATACTAACTCATGACATTTTCCGTTTTCTCTTCTTTTCCCCCGTTTTTTTGTATGCGTGTGTGGATTATTTCTAGGTATGCCAGCAGCCGGACAAGTGGACTGTGTCACATTATCACGAGGATAAGCACAATTGCTACACTTTTGTATTGACCTTCCTGCAAGCACTGGCGTATGAGAAATTAAGCGAGGCGGCCAGCAGTAAAACGACATTCTGTGAAAAGTGTATAGTTCCTAGGACGACAACAGCTGGCAAGTATATTTCATTGTACCGGAAGTTGCGTGATACCGGTATTTATGTGCATCACACCAATCACAATAAGCTGCGTTATGGTGGTGCCAGTAGTGGTAGCAGCCGTAGTAAAATGGGAAAGCAACATCAACAACACTACCAGCAACAAGAGCATAAATTTAACAATCCAGGAATTACAACAAGCAACCAAACAATGACAGCAACAAAGAGTTCCATGCTTTCTTCATCGAAATACCAAATGCAACAACAGCAGCAGCAACAACACCATCAACAACATCCGAATCAGAATCAAAATCAACAACAGCAGCAGCAACAGCAACAACAGCACCATCATCACAACAGTATTATATCACGCCAGCATTCTAAACTCTGTACAATTGAGGAATAAAGTGGCGACCCCAGCTTAGAGCATTAACTGGGCCCCGTACATACATACTTGGAATATCAATGTTTGGTTTATTGTATTGGCGGCCTGCCTAGGCATTTGTATGACCATCTATCTGTCCGTTTCTCCATTCGTATGTTTGCCTTCCGCTCATCCGTTATAGTCTTTCTTATTTTAGTAGCCAAAAAAACCAGCATATGCCTGTTGTCAATTTTAATATGAATTGTACAGTGGTTTGAAATGAAGATATGGAAATTCTTTTAACGCCCTATAAACATGAAAAATAATTTATACAAATTACAATTTCAAATAAAATAAAATATGTGTAAATAAATGTTTGTGTATGTAACCTTGAAAAAATTTTGTTTAATTAACCGAAAGATGGACCAATATTTAAAAATTTTAGTGGAGATAAGAATGAGAATTCAAAGTGCTAAATTGCAGCCAATTCGGTCGAAAATTGCGATAAAAACCCCGCAAAATTCACACATCGTTAATTCAGTATGTTATACCAAATTTCGTAAAAATCGATGTACGTACAGGGACTTTGGTGCACAATTTACCTAAAATCGGAAGAAACTATATATGGGTGCTATATCTAAATCTGAACCGATTTTTCCCAATTTCAATAGGGTTCGTCCCTGGGCCAAATAAATGAGTTGTGCCAAATTCGTATAATAAATGCGACCTGTACTTTGTTTACAATTTAACATGGAGAGACGGACGAAAGGACACGTATAAATCGACTTAAAAAGATATTCTATGCATATACTCAAAAGGAAGCAGTAAGGAAAGTAGTAAAGTCGGATGGGACCGACTATATGATACCCTTCACCACTATGGGTATATTAAACAGGACTATTAACATGAAATTGGATGAAATAAAATATGTGATATATATCTAAATGTGAATCTACCTAGATCTACGTAATTCTATGCTCAATTTTGTTGGGCAACATTTCAGACAATCTGAAAAACATGAGGAGTTTGATGAACCATTTACTTCAAATCGGACGAAAATATATATGGAAGCTATATACAAATATGAACCGATTCAAACGAAACTTGTCACAGGTTAAGTTATTCTAATTTCAGTAAGTTTTGTTCCTATCCTATTGATTCCTTGGTGTGTCAATTACTTAAAATCAATCTATAATATAAGGGAGCTGTATATAAATCTCAACCGATTTTCACGAAACTTGTCACACATCATTCTGGACTAAATCATCATCAGTACGCTATGCCAATTTTCGTGCAAATCGAAGGATATATTGGGACATTGGAGCACCATTTACATAAAATCGGACGAAACTATATATGGGAGCTATATCTAAATCAGGACCCATTTTCACGAAACTTGGCAGACATCACTCTAGGCTTAATTCAGTACGATATGCCAAATTTCGTGCAAATCGAAAGATATATAGGAACTTTGGTGCACCATTTACATGAAAGCGGACGAAACTATATATGGGAGCTATATCTAAATCTGGACCGATTTTCACGAAACTTGGCAGACATAATTCTATGCTCAATTCAGTACGTTATGCCAAATTTGGTGCAAATCGAAAGATATATAGGGACTTTGGTGCACCATTTACATGAAATCGGACGAAACTATATATGGGAGCTATATCTAAATCTGGACCGATTTCCTCGAAACTTGGCAGACATCATTCTAGACCTAAATGATTAGGGTGTACCAAATTTCGTGCAAATCGAAAGATATATACATCGACCGTTTACATTAAATCGGTTAAATATATAGATGGGAGCTATATCTAAATCTGAACCGATTTTTCCCAATTTCAATTGGGTTCGTCCTTGGGTCGAATAAGTGACATATGCCAAATTTCATCCAATTCGGATCATAAATGCGACCTGTACTTTGTTTACAATTTACCATGGACAGACAGATGGACAGACGGACGGAGGGACGGGCGGACATGCATAAATCGACTTAGAAAGTGATTCTATTCATATTCTCAAAAGGAACCATGTGTCTATCTCGTTTCCTTTTGCCTGTTACAAACATATGCACACCCTGTATCACAGTGTGGTGTCGGCCCCGTCCGACTTTTGATTTTTGCAGATGCAGACATAGCTTCAATATATATTTCGAACTGTTGTCTGATTGAATTAAATTTTGAACAGTTTGGCATGCCGAACAGCATGTATTTACATAAATTTGTCAATTTAGCATGTGTGAAGATTGATGTTAGTTGTTGGTTCACTTATAGATGAAGATCACATCGAAGGAGCATTGACATGAAATTGTTAGGATACATATGTAGAATATATACCCAAAGTAGTGAAGGGTATTATATAGTCGCATGTGAATTTTTGCGCGTCCTCCAAAAAACTTTTTGCGAGTCTCAGAGCTAGAACTGTGAAATTTGGATTGATGGTCGCTGACGAGTGGAGTGTAGGATAGGTGTAGCAAAGGTTTTTTGAAATTCGAACTAAAACTATCCGAAAAGTACTAAAATGTACTTAATTTGGTACAAATTTGTAGCATGTGAATGGATAGAGCCTAAAACTTGAAATGTGGAATGCGAATTAGAATTAGAGTTGTGATGTTTTGAAAGATATGGTTTTGAAAGCGTGTACTCATGTGTACGAAAAGTACTATATGGTACTATATTTGGTACAAATTTAATCTATACTAATAAAAGAGTAAAGTGATTGTCTGACTGACTGATTTAACGATTCATCAACGCCCAGACGAAACGGCTGAAGCTAGAATTTTGAAATTTTAGGTGAGGGTCACTCTTGGTCCAAAAGTGACAGATAAGGCTGGGTTTTTGGAAATTCGTACTAGAACCGTACGAAAAGTACTAAAAAGTACTAAATATGGTATCATTTGTATTTGGCGAACCAGTAGAGCTAGAAATCTGAAATTTGGATTGAGGGTCACTGATGGAGTGTAGAATAGATGTAGAAAACTTTTTGGAAATTCGAACTATAAATATCGGAAAAGTACTGAAATGTAATAAATTTGGTACAATTTCGTAGCATGTGAATGGATTGAGCTAAAAACTTGAAATTTGGAATGCAAATTAAGGTTGAGATTTAGGGTCGATATGAGAAGAGCGTGTACTCATGTGTACGAAAAGTACTATATGGTACTATATTTGGTACAAATTTGATTTGGAGGTACAAATCGAGCTGGAATCCTGGAATTTGATATTAAAATTACCGTCGGAGTGTAGGATTGAGATATGTACGTAGTTTTGGTAATTTTTTACTGATGTGTACGAAAAGTACTAAATCGTACTAAAATTGGTACAATTTGGATTCCGATAGAGCGAAACAATGAAATTTGGATTCAGGATCACTGCAGGGGTGTCGTGTTGGGGTCAGGATTCCGTTTAAGCAATTTATATTCATGGGTACTAAATGGTACTAAATTTGGTACAATTTGAATTGTAGGTGAACCGATAGAGTTTGAATCCTGAAACTTGGATTTAGGATCACTGTGGGAGTGTAGGATTGGTGTATGTAGAAACTTTTGGATATTGGTACTATAGTGCACTAAATTTGGTACAATTTGAATTGTGGGTGAACAGATAGCGTTGAAATACTTAAACTTGGATTTCTGATCACTGTGGAGGTGAAGGTTAGGGGTATGTAGCAAGTTTTGAAAATTGGTACTACTGTGTACTAAATTTGGTACAATTTGCATGGTGGGTGAACCGATAGAGTTGGTATCCTCAAACTTGAATTTAGTGTCACTGTGGGGGTGTAGGATTGGAGAATGTAGAACATTTTGGAAATTGGTATTACAGTGTACTAAATTTGGTACAATTTGAATTGTGGATGAACCGATAGAGATGGAATCCTGAAACTTGGAATTAGGATCATTGTGGGGGTGTTGAATTGGGGTATGTAGGAAGTTTTGGAAATTTGTACTACTGTGTACTAAATTTGGTACAGTTTGAATTGTAGGCGAACCGATAGAATTCGAATCCTGAAACTTTAATTTAGGGTAATTGTGGGGGTGTAGGATTGGTGAATGTAGAACATTTTGGAAATTGGTATTACAGTGTACTAAATTTGGTACAATTCGAATTCTGGGTGAACCGATAGAAATGGAATCCTGACACTTGGAATTAGGATCACTGTGGGGGTGTTGAATTGGGGTATGTAGGAAGTTTTGGAAATTTGTACTACTATGCACTAAATTTGGTACAGTTTGAATTGCGGATGAACCGATAAGTTGATATCCCGAAACTTGAATTTAGGATCACTATAGGGGTGTAGGTTTCTGTTAAGATGGAAGTTTTAGAAATTCATACTACCGTGTACAAAATTTCGTACAATTTGAATTGTGAATGTTTTAGAAATTCGTACTACTGTGTACTTAATTTGGTACAATTTGAATTGTGGGTGTACCGATAGTGTTGGAATCCTGAAACTTGGATTTAGGATCACTATGCGGGTGTAGGTTAGTGGTGAGAAGCAAGTTTTAGAAACCCGTACTACTGTGTACTTAATGTGGTACAATTTGAATTGTGGGTGTACCGATAGTGTTGGAATCCTAAAACTTTTTTCGTCCGATTTCATGTAAATGGTGTACAAAAGTCCCTATATATCTTCCGATGCGCATGAAATTTGGCATAGCGATCTGAATTGAGCCTAGAATGATGTGTGTAAAGTTTCCTGAAAATCGGTTCAGATTTAGATATAGCTCCCATATATATTTTCGTCCGATTTCATATAAATGGTGTACAAAAGTCCCAATATATCTTTCGATGTGCTTGACTTGAGTCCAGAACAATGTGTGCAAAATTTCGGGAAAATCGGTTCCCGATTTAGATAGAGCTCCCATATATATTTTCGTCAGTTTTCATATAAAAGGTGCACAAAAGTCCCTATATATCTTCCGATTTGAACGAAATTTGGCATAGCGTACTGAATTGAGTCTAGAATGATGTGTGTAAAATTTCTTGAACATCGTTTCAGATTTAGATATAGCTCCAAGATTTTAAGACCCAAAGTTA